GTTAAGCAGAGAAGTCAACACGGCACTTTCAACTCTGTTACCAGACAAGAACGTCATTGTGAACAGTCGTCACCCAGCCAAAAAAAACAGGATTACAAATCTAGAAGAGGCTGCCGTTGCTGCTTGAGTTAGATTTTCATTCGCTCTGAAGACTACGCATATGTACAGGCAAAACAGGCAGAGGAAGGTAGAAGGGATGGCGACATTAAATTAAAAAAAGTTTGGGAGGCCACTTCTGGACAGAAGCAACTGGGGGAATGAAAGAAGTTACGGGGACAACAACACCAACAACAACACCAACAACAACCGGGATGGAGGTGACCTCAGCCATTGTGCAACAATAATAATAATACGTCAAAGTTGCTTAGAACCAAAATTATTAGATGACGACACTTTCAACCGTTTGTCAATCCACTGCCGGATAAAGGTCTCCCCTACGCAATGTCGGCCAATGTCTCGTACTGTTTGACAAAATTAACGAATGCGTCCATTTGAGAACTTATTAAATAACGATAACCTTTATTATGCACGAACATTTAGATTTATCGGGTAACCTTAATAGACCTCAAAGCGCCATTCGTGCATGTAAACAAGAACTAGAAATGACAAGTCACCAGCGAAAGACTACAGAGGCAAGACAGAGGCGGAGAGAGACAGAGAGGAGGAGGCCTTTTTAATCAGGCGGGGTTCATTCGTGCAACATCTGATGGTGTCCTCGTGCGCACACACACGGAACGCTGCCGCCCAAACTTGTTTAATTTCACGGCACACTTTGGAGCTCGCTCGATCATCCTTCGTCGAACCGGACTCGCCGTGGGGGGCACGCTGTGGGTGGGGTGGTTGGGGGGGGGGCTGACGGCCGCCGCCGTACTGCGCATGCGCGACCAATGGATCGGCCACTGAACGGCACGGAGGAGGGGAGTTCGTCTGTCCTCTTGACCAACAGTGAGGTTAATTTCCCTTTCCTGTCGCTCTGAAAATAAGCGAGGCACACATTGGGACCTTGCCGCAGCACACCGAATGTGAGGCACTGCTTGAGAAGCCAACACGAATTTACCCTTCGACATTACAGGATTGGAATTTAAAAATGAATGCAGGCCACAGAGAAATCTATGTAGCCTGCACTTGAGACCGTTACCAATTTAACCAATTTAACCAATTTAACCTCCCCCCCCCACCAACAATTATGAGAATTGTCGCAACTCCAAGTGGGTGCTGTGTTCCACTCAAGCTTTGATGTTGTTGGTCTCCTTTACATTTTTCTTCCTCCACCTCCTCCTCACATTATAGCTTTCTTCTCTCGATTATTCTGAAGGTTTCTACGCGCGCGTGAATCGTCAATAACACAATCTCACGCGCACGATTCAATACACGTGAGTTGAGCTGTAAAAATCGATTATAATCGATGCATCGTTGCATCATTGCATGCCCCTCCGCTGTGCAGTCGAGAGCTGTTGGATCTTGTATGGAACGTCAGGTCCGCATGTCGTCAAGCTTATGCCGCAGTGCCACCTGGTGTTGTTTTTGCGCCTTGAAGGCCGAGTAATTCTGCTGCTTTGGTGATACGGAGTTGGCAGTCCGTAACATCGGCAAAAATTACACAAAAATTACACAATAACACATTCGTCAATAACACTGCCGTAAAAGGCAAAGTATGTACTTAATGAAGTCACCTCTATGGACTAACTCTGTGCTATGAAGAACGGCCACAAAGTATGACGAGTTGTCTTTTTACGGAAATGTTATTGAATGTTCGGTGCGTTTTGACTACCGTGTGTGTGGCTCCACGGTTGTGCTGTACGTCCCCGATGTGTTTGCGTGTTGTACCGCGTGAGGCTATGGCATGATGTCTGACGTTTCGCTACGTGTGCTGGGAGATTATTCAGCTTGTCCAGTTCCTGCCGAACAACCCCACGGCACAAGGCAAACACCAGCATCGCGGAGGTGAACAACGCCGATTGTTGCAGGACGTGGCGTGACGGTGCTCTGTTGGTGCCCTTCCGTGTGCTCGTGTGGACACCAAGTTTCAGCTGCACGTGCCGGGAGCCAATTCAGGAACTGTACAACGACGTTTTATGAATTCGGAAGTGTTTTCAGCGTGTGAATTGTTCAGGAACTCAATAGAAGCTCCCAGTACGGCCAACGCAACGTGCATCACGCTGAACGACACACGGTCACAACCCGAAAACACTTCGGACAGTTTGACAATTCTATCTCTATTACCAAGCTGCCAATGGTGGCTTCCAGCCATCAACAGATAATCCAGTCGTGCCAAGTCACGCGACTCTCCACTGTGTAACGTGAATCCGTTTAGTAAATCTCAAGTCCAGTCCACGTGTCCTCATCCACAGCCCAGCGATCCATGTGCACCAGCATGGCGACTGGGGTCGACAACGCTCTCATGCTTCCACACCACTTCGAGGCAAGTGCCACATTGAGAGAGCACTCGGCAGACACGCGGCTTTAATCTATCCGTGGCTTGCAAAGGGGCGTAGATGATTGGCAGTGGTAGAGTGCTCATCGCTTAACCGTGTGAGGGGAGTGTGGATTAGTCTTGGGGTAATTGCTACAAGCTGTGTTGCTGTCTGCAGGCTTAATTTCAGTGATTCTCATTATGCGTCAAGCTTGAGGAAAAGCACGCTAATTGAGGGCATCGGGCACGTGCTGATTACAGACCCACGTGGCAGCCACGTGAGAATTATCCTGGCAAGCCAAATCTGGTCCAGCCAGGAAATGTTTGAACTTTCAGAGGGGACTCCCAAACTCATTATCGAGGAATACCACAGCGCCATCGATATTTCCCATTAGGGGGAGAAGACTGTGGATCACAATAGCGTCTCTGATTACCACACAGGAGTTGGTCATTGTCAAGATGCGACCCTGCAATAACAACACTTGGTGAAGCCACTGCTGGCAGAAGGGAGCTCAAAGACAGCCCCTTGAAGAAATGCGTCCTCATTCACACGGACGCGACCTCGTGCGTACAAGCAAGTAGGGTACAATGTAAAATAACGTTTCAAAACATTGGATTGTTTTAAAAAATGTTTTATTATAGTTTATAGTATATGGTTAGCTAACACATTACCCAGGGACTAAATGCTAAGAGTTAGCGCTTACACACACGTCGGATGTCACCAATACACCCAGCTATACATATGCAGGCTAAGGCAGCTCGCATTAAGTGTCCAGACGCAGAACACCCCCCCAGTAGACACGGACTATAAGAGAACCCAGGTGCTTAGGGTTGGGAGTTGTGTTAATGAATTGAGGACTAAAGAGATCAAAGGCGGTCTGCTCACAGCGAGACGCAGCCATGTGTAAGAGGCGTGCGGCGCGGATGCTTGCAGACTCGTCGCCACGAGGCCGCGTGCGGCCCAACGCATGCGCCGTCAACGAGCCTGAAGCTCGCTCGATGGAAAAGGACCCCGCTCCACTCCTCTTATCCACGACCCTATTTACCTATATACCCACGAATCATCGTCTCTGGGGGGGCATTCGGTCTACCAAATACCCATTGAATCCACACCTCTTTTCTTGATACCTGTGGTTTTTCCAGCCCAGCACTTTGCTGAGCAGCTTCCTGTTATCCGCTATTTTTTCTATTGCCGCTCGATAAATTCATCCTGTTAGCGAAGATGATCTGAATTTTTTCCGCGAATAAGTTAATGTGCAAATCACACGGCGGATAATGTGATCCGCGTCATGCAGCCCCCACATCGCTGCCGACGAGAGGAGGGCTGCTTGTTAATGGAGGAGCGTGCTGCGGTGACGGACAATCGAACCACTGTGACGTCACTACTGGGTCGCCATGGCTCAAGCCGCATGGCCGACTTTACAATCTCGTTTGCTCATTAACAAAGTGGCAACCTCGTGTCAGATAGCCGCCTCGGGTACGTATCTGCAAATTCGTAACTCCTCTTATCCGCGACCCTATTACTCGTGACTATTATCCATTTGGGTTTGCGATAACCCCTATAATCCACGGCCCTATTGTTACCATAAGCCGCGAATTTTGGGAGTAAACTTGTGGATAACCGGGCAGATAATAGGATCGGTGATATTGGTCCCCCACATCATGGCGGATAAGAGGAGTTCTCTTGCGTGTTTTTTATGCATATTATTTCAAAACATTACATATAAATTGCACTATGTGAAGCATGCAGTTTAACTATACAGGCAGTCTTCAACTTACAAACGCGTTCCGTTTCTGAGGCCCGTTTGTAAGTCAAACGGTTTGTAAGTCGGAAACATAACAATTCACTGTGTTTAAACACAACAATGCACTGCATTTAACACAATATGCACTGTGTTTAAACACAATATGCACTGTGTATAAACACAACAATTCACTGTATTTAAACACAATATGCACTGTGTTTAAACACAATATGCACTGTGTTTAAACACAACAATTCACTGTATTTAAACACAACAATGCACTGTGTTTAAACACAATATGCACTGTGTTTAAACACAACAATTCACTGTATTTAAACACAACATGCACTGTGTTTAAACGCAAAACGTCGCCGGCAGGTCACTGCCGTTGCGTATTCCGAGGCTCGCTGCACCGAACCAAATAGTTCCGCGGTTCGATTCGTAAGTGCGAGCTCGCGTCCGCCAGTCGGATGGTTAAGAAATGATGACCATATGGAACTCATCATGGGACCTCCTTTGCCAGTACACAAATATGAGAATAGATTTTCCACTTTTTTGTTCGCCGTTTGGCGTCCTCTGGTCTAACACCGTTTTGAGACGAGGCTCCAAAGAAAGATGTCTCTGGTGTGGACCAATCAGCTTCAAGGACAAAGCATATATTATCAGTGTGTTTTTTGTTTGCATTCTGACCGCAAGCATTGTGGTTAATGCAGACATGATTCTTTGTTAAAGGTTTCAGTTTGGTGTTTTAACATCTTAACACAGCTGTTTTGTTGCCATAAAAAAGGGGAAAACCTATTCTCATATGGAAACTCGTTCGTAAGTGAGACTGCATGTACGTATATATATAAAAAAAACTTTAATATTTTTCATTGCCTGAAAAGTCATCATTGCGAAATGATAAAAAAGCAACCCAAATGTACAATCATTTTTAGATTCGTTCTTGATTTACAAGCAAAACAATACTTAAACATGACCTATATTATATTAACAAGACTCAGTAAAACACCAAAAGTACACTACTTTTAATATAAAACACATGAAGAGGTGATATTTAAAAATGATAGGTTACAATATATGTTTAAAGTCATACAGTGTGTATAAATATGTATATACACCTTGTTTCATAATATACACACACACAGTACAACGTCGCATATCCGGCTCACTGAGGTATCGGCTGATGTGTGAACAGATGGGATAAGGTTAAGATCTGTACAAAGTGACAGTTACACTATACACCAATATGTTGCCAGACACAAAAAATCTCAAACTTATTTTTAAACGTGGCAAAATTATTTTACTTTGCTTGATATTTAAGCAAATATTATATGATGAACAATAACACTCCCTCGTGTTAAAAGCTTGGACTTGTGAACAACTCTGGATAACGAGTTACACCACGCACAAACAATGTGCACTGTTTGTGGCCAGTTAATTAAATAGGAGGGATGTGTGGACGGTCGGATAGGCGACGTTGTACCGCTGACCGTAGCTATTAGGCAGGAGTACAGCAAAAATCGAACGAAAACAATTACCGAGTAGAGCGAGATGGCACAAGAACCCCACCTCACAGCGAGTCAGGGTTTACAGCCCTTTCTCATTCATTCCCTGCTGGATGAAGGCCTCCCCACACCATGTGAGTAATGGGAGATTGCTTGACCGTACATCACCGTGCTGGTCAGTGCAGGTTGAAGAGAGTGGGGGCAAGTCAATGAATCCAGCTGCACGCGTTACCCGAGACGAGAAATCCTCAAGTGGACTGTGCAGCCCTCACTGCAAACCCCAACTGGAGCCACATGACACCAAAACCTACAGTAATAATTATCAACAAAATAACCAAAAAAATTGATTTCTTTAAAATAAAACAATTGTCAACATTTTCTCTTCACTATTAATCATACAGCATTATTGTGCACGGACATACGACCACACACACACAGGAAAAACTACGGCACGCAAGCATAAGCGAGCTGGGCGTGTAACCCATCACTGTGGATGTAGGCCAGCCTACAGAATTTGAAAGTAAACTGGCAAAATATTAAACTTTGTAGGTTAGTGTGGTGCTCAATGTGTGCGAGGGTTATTATGTACAGAGGCTCAGACAGGATGAGAATCGTTGAGAAGTGTTTAAGTCCTAAATGTTTTTTTTATTTAATTCGTATAAATTGCATGTACGTTACTTATGTTTTAAACTGGGTTTCGTAAAGATATGTCATTGTTGTTCGTGATGAGTCAAGAACTATCTGTATATCTGTGCTCCACGGTTCACTGGGTGAGAAGTGGTGGAGCTGTCTCCATGTAGTTCTCATTCTATTGACTATGGAGAGAACAAAGCTGGGTTTGGAAATTGTATTCACAATGATGATGAACCTCCAGTTCAATCTTTTAAATGTTAGTCCAACCCTCTACAAAATACAGTTATTTGGCAACACTCTGCTGGCAGTGGTGCACAAGCACAAATAACAAAAACTCACATTCGTAAATAGGTTGCTATAAAGAAGAGCCATTGTGCCCGACACATCGCCTATTACACATTTTTATTTTTAAGGCCACAGTGTTAATGACGCTCGTGTTGAATTTTTTTGTCAACATACGGTTGTATGGAATGTTTATTTTAGACATCTACACCACATGAAACCATTAAAAATGTCATTACAAAAAGTTAAATTACAATGAGGGATCAAACTAACTTCCCAATCAATTAAACTTTATTGATCAAAAATGCAAAAATATATTAGCTGGCAAAACGACCAAAATGGATTATGGTGCGGATTAAAAAAAAATAGATAGAGGTTTATTAATTGAATAAAATATCCGATTAATGAGCACATTATTATCTTACACCAAACTTCGCGGTTATATTCATCATCAACGTAAATGACAAATGCCAAAGAAACATGTGGTACGCGTTTTGAGCAGGCCAACACGTTTGGATATATGAAAAATTTAATCAAGACAACTCCATAATTTGTTTAAAACGTTATGACTTTCTCTTCAAAGGAATCCTCTGTACGGGCAGCAGAGGGATAGGTCAACTCATCGCAGCTTCTCACTCGCACCACCGCTGGAGGCTTCTTATTCACCTTGCAGTAGAGGGCTGACACATCGTCATCGACATTTACGGACGTGGGGATCGGACGACTGGGCAAGAGCGGAACTTTGATCGGTCGATCATTTGGCTTCGGAAAATGTGGCTTTGCAGGGGGTACTGGCGCGGTCGGCCGTGGCGCAGCCTCATCTTTCTGAACCTCATCTTTGCAATGAATGGTGCTGTAGATGGTCTTCGCAGCGCTGCTGCGAGCAGCGCACTCAGGATCGTCGTAAATGTGCTCTGCCCGGGGAGGCTGGCTGTTTTGCATCGCCGGCCCACGGTTTTTGCCAAGCAGACAACCGTCGTAAACCTCCGAATAGACGGGCTCGCTATTCCGATTTGAATTCTTCTTCGGAAAGACGGGCTCCGAATTCGGAGAGGGGGGAAACTTCAAGGGTGACATCTTGCCCCCGTTAGGCTTTCCGCCGTAGGGCAGCAGAATGGCTCCCTCGGGTTTAAGTGACATGAGCTTCATCCCGTCGGCCGCAGGTCCGGCAGCGTGCAGGAATTCATCGGCCTCCACGTGACGCACCGGCGAAGCGTTTGCTCGCGAGAAGTGAGCTGCGCTCGAGTCCACGTTGGTGCTGCCACCATGATTTCCTGGTGGCAGTTTGCTGATGAAATTGACGATAAGATTGAATATTTCCTTTCCCTGGGTCGTCTCGAAATTGAAATTGCCCGGTCCAGTCTGGCACCTACGTCCAGCTTCGAACGTGAACATTTTCTGCAAACGAAACATTACAACATTGTGTTTTAGCAGGAATTAATTTGTTTACTTTATATGTACATATTTTGATACTTCTTTCGCACCGTACGTAGCCAGCCATGCTAATCGGAGGTGCTGGGGAGGGACAATTAATGGAATCATGACGGGAAAGAATCATTGCAACGTCTCGACAAAGAATAAACCGAGTATGGAGATTAGGTGGGAGAAGGCCGACGCAGACGAGCCGTGGATCTCAGTGGAGCTGCAACTCGGTTGCCTCCGTGTGCTTGGCAGTGTAATGGTGTTCACCTCTTTATCATCTATAGGCAGATCATCGCGGTTGTGGATTTACTGTGCTCATTCACACATTTTAAGTGCACTTTGGTAGAATAGCTGCTCCTCACCCGTCAGTACCCAGGGGACAGCGCACATTCTATGCCAGGCGTGGCCAAACCGCAGCTCGCCAGCTGATTGCGGCTCCCTGGCACAGCTCGTGCGGTTCGATGAAGACATGGATTTTTTCTTTAACTTTTTAACAACAACAACGTTTTAGACTGTAGAAAATTGCGTTTACAGCAGCGGCCGGGGGTGCTCGTCCCTGGCAGCAGAACCACGAGTGACTCCAAAGCCCTCTGGCACATTGATAAATTCACAATTGCACAGTCAGACAGCGCAAGCAAGGCGGTCGCCCTCTGACCGCCACGTGCTCGAGAGTGTTAAATTAAACGACGAGCCTCGTGGCTCTCGCCCACATCAAGACTCGAGAAGGCAGCTCACGGCGTTCTATGTCGTCACTGCCTATTCTACGTGGGTAACTAACGGATGTTTTGTTACAGCCCCATTTGTACACGCTTTGCATTGTGTGTTTTTGTTTTGTTCAGGGCCATCTTTCCAGCCCCCCCCCCTCCCCCGCGTTACCCAGGGTAACTGAGGGTGAACCACTCCGTGAAGGGCAGTGAAGGTGGGAGCGGCGCACACCTGGTCCTTGCCGTATCGGCGCAGGGAGTCGAGGGCCCAGGACTGCAGCACAAGGCGCGTGTTCTGGTCCATGAGCTCGAGTCTCTCCTGGTTCACCTTCAGGATGTACTTCCCCTGCAGCTTACTCCGCTCCGACGCGTCCGTCTTCTGGGTCACCACCAAGAACTCGTCCACTGTGAACGTTGAAATGAGCCGCGCGTCATTGCCTCTCCCTCCCTTCGAGCGTAAATCTGCCTTTGTTACGCGACGATGGAGTACATGCCCGTGCTTCTGTGCGCATGTGTGCGAGGGCCGAGACATTTTCCAGGTACATGAGACGGCAAACATCCGGCCTCAAAGGTGGTTTGGCCCTGCGAGCCCATTGGAAGTAGAGCCAAATGAACGGTGTGCGGTTAACTACGCAAGCCAACCAAACCACACTCCATGGAAGTGAACAGGTTTGGATTGGTGTTGTGTGCGTGGTTTTGTGCACGTCTGAGACTTTGTGGTAGGTTTTATGTGTGTGGTCTGTTTGGGCATGTGTCACTGTGTCTAGGTGGTACGTTTTGTGTGTGTGGTGTGTTTGGGCATGTGTCACTGTGTCTAGGTGGTACGTTTTGTGTGTGTGGTGTGTAAAACAGGTACATTAGAGTGTGCGGTGTGTATGTGGTAGGTTTTGTGTGTGTTGGAGTATATGTCCTTTGTTTGTGTGTGCATGAAAGAGGCTGTCGTGAGGTGTGTGCTGAGTTTGTGGTTTTATCATCTTCTACACCATCTTTGCCGAAAGGCATCTTCATTACCATTTTCGTCATCTTTGCGATGCTCACAGAAACCCATTCATTTCAATCGTGATTCCTGCACCTTTTTCCACATAAATGGTATTTCTGGTGTCGATTTCAACATAGCCATTGGACGGCACGCTTTGGCAAATCCTCATGGAAAACAATGGCAATTTTCACAAATTCCACTCAATTCCACGAATCAAGTCAAACTTCTGGGGTTGGGATCGGACAAACAGCCGGCATGAGTGAACCACACAGGTCGAAACATTTATAGATAACCCACTGATGCATCATGACTCTTGCTTCTTAAAAAGTAATTTTATTTTGCAAAAGCGATGGCTCCATATTGTAGAGGCGAGCGTCAAATATTTTACAAGGGTATTGAGGCTGTTGGATGACACGCAGAGGCTTTGAAATCATGCGGCTGTTATAACGTCTTCCTCTTATTTTATTGGGGTATCTATACATGGATTACTCCACTGTAGTCTCGAGACACACACTCACAAGGAGACACACACTGACACAGAGACACACACTGACAAGGAGACACACTGACACAGAGACACACACTTGCAAGGAGACACACACTGACACAGAGACACACACTCACAAGGAGACACACTGCCACAGAGACACACACTGACAAGGAGACACACTGACACAGAGACACACACTGACACAGAGACACACTGACACAGAGACACACTGACACAGAGACACACACACTTGCAAGGAGACACACACTGACACAGAGACACACACTCACAAGGAGACACACTGCCACAGAGACACACACTGACAAGGAGACACACTGACAGAGACACACACTGACACAGAGACACACACTCACATGGAGAAACACACTGACACAGAGACACACACTGACACAGAGACACACACTGACACCGAGACACACACCGAGATGCAGACTCGAGCAAATTGGGCAAATTGTCACGAAATTTGGCCCCGCTCGATTTCCTTGTTCGCAATCAGATAACGAATCACACAAGGCATTGTGAATTCTCCCTCGGCTACAACACATTACCACCACATTGCCACCTACAACACATTACCACCACATTGCCACCAACAACACATTACCACCACATTATCACCTACAACACATCACCACCACATTACCACCAGATTACCACCTACAACACATCACCACCACATTACCACCTATAACACATTACCACCTACAACACATCACCACCACATTACCACCTACAACACATCACCACCACATTACCACCTACAACACATTACCAGCCACCCACCCGGGCTCACGGTGGGTGAGAGCACTGCCCCGTGGTGGTCACTTTGTGCTCTTGCAGCGCCCTCAAGCGATGGCGAGCAGAAGGGCAATGCTCTAAGGAGAGTGCTGGGATTTAAACCTGCTGAGAGATCGTATGACATCTACAAAGCCTAAAGCGTGTTCCACGTGTGGCTTTTCAGACATTGGAACAATCTTGTTTATATTCTTTGACATCAATGCCGCCTTAGAGCACACTGCCAGCCTCTGCTTCAACCCACACGCAAATAGAACCAGCTGATGCAGTGCCGACGTGCAGCGCCTTGCTGTCGATAAGACAGAAAAACCCACGAAGGTTGATGGCACAGAGATAGCATGCTGTGTGTGGCCATATTTACATTAAAACATCAGATAGCTTTTAATGTCAGAATGGCAATATTGTGAGTGACAATCCGATTGATTTGATGATCACTTGTCTTTCCTTGGCTTGGTGTGGTGATATGACCGAGCGGTGGCGTGTTTGCCGCTCGTTGCGGAGGTTCGCTGTTCGTGCCCAGTGACCGCCCTGGTAAATACTGCCGGAGCATTAACCCACAAAGCACGCGCCGTCTCCTTCACGGTTTCTGTCAAAGATCCCCGTGGCGTTATTCGTGAAAGAGCCGGCTACGCGTGCCGGCGTCACGGGCCAGATTCGCATATTACCCGATTTTAAAAAGCCACAAAGAAGCATCGCGCCCCCGACTGACAAACGAATGCCCAAGAATACGAACAGGTTTTACCCTTTCTGGCAACAAAACAGTTGTGTGAAGATGTTCAAACACCAAACAGACACCTTTCGCAAGGAATCATGTCTGCATTAAGCACACACGATACTTGCGGTGAACATGCAAAAAAAAAACATTATCTGGTAATATATGGCATTGAACTGATTGGTCTACACCAGAGACAGCTTTCTTTAGGGCCTGGTCTCAACCAGTGTTAGACCAGAGGACGGCAAGAGGCAAACAGTACAAAGACAATGCCACTATCAGGGCATCAATAGCTCGTGGTGAGCAGCTACAACATGGGACCATGCAGGTGCTGCTACCACCACGTGCTACACAGAGACTGCCAACACCACGTGCTACACAGAGACTGCTGCCACTTGGGGCCCCTTGGCTAAACTGCAGCAGTACACTGAAATGGTTGAGATAAGCCATTTAAGTGATCTATACATGAAATCCATATCCTGAGAAGACCTCACGTTGTTGCTGTTATATTTTCCACAAACAAATCAATGTGATTGGGTGCGCATGGACATGTTGTTTCCACTATTGTCTTCTTACACCGAATACGCAAATGTTCCCATAGATATATACGTTTTTAAACATTACATAAATGTATGAACACCTGCTATGTTTTAGAAATGTTATTAATATCCACAAAATATTAGCGGATACTCTGCTTTCCACATTTTTCCAAGAACGTTTTAAATACCCTTTAAAGTGGCTTGAGTGGACCCTACGGCGATTCTGAAGGAGAAATGAAGTAAACTAAAACATCTGATTACCTTCGTCAGCAGAAGAATAGATGCTGTTCTCCTCCATCTCCAGGGGCTTAGAGGCAAGGCCATTATCCAATGATCCATATCCTGAAGCCGCCTGCTGCTCATGGACAGATGGAGAGGAACACAAGAAAGGAAGCGACGCGTATTAAGGTAGGGCACATTAAGGTGGCGCACACGTGGAATATACAACACACGGGCAGATGAACCCAGCACATTCTGCTGAAGAAACAAAAAGGGTGAAGCAGTTTAAATGGTGGTCAAGCTTCCGGAGTGCCGCATCCCCTCCTCCTTAGCACCTCTCCCCTCTACTCCCCCCACCCTCCCATCCCCCCCCCCCCCTTGTCTACCCAGCACTATGAACCACAATTGGTCCAATCGGTAGGTTCTGTGGGGTAAAGTGTGGGGACCCCGATCTCTTCCAAGCCGTCCGGCCGCTGTGGCAAAATCAGCCAAGTTATCCGAGGTGTGCTGGAGAGCTCCCTCCAGTGGATGGATCTCCGCCAGCAGTGACAAGAGCAAGTTGTTTCACGCCTGCACCTTTGCCTTTACCACCCGTTTACATACATGTGTATATATGTACACCCCTTTGTCAATCCACTGCTGGATGAGGGCCTTCCCATGCGAAATTGATCGTGGAGGATTTTGGTCATGCCGGTCAGGGAGGGTGGGTGAATATGGGGACCATTCACATTGTTATAGGTACCCTGTACCTATAACAACGTGAGCTCCCATGGTAAAACGATATGCTTGCATATATAAAATTCAAAACAACCTAGACAACAATGTTAAAGATTACGCCCAGGAGAAGGGATGGAAAAAAAATACAAGTTTGCATACATTCGAAGTACAAAACTGCGAGCGAACATGCAGTTTTTTTTACGAACATGCTGTGTTTATCTCTGCATGCAGTGGGTGCGAAGGCTTGACTGTAGGTATGCTATCAACCGGCGATCAACCAAACTCTACATGTATTGCATGAGTGGGAGTTGTGTTTGCTTTAAGTAACGATTTCTGTGCAACAGCTTATTTCTTCACCACAAAAAACCCTTCATTGATTACATCTATAAAGCACCCCGAATTTGTACGCAACGCTGAAAGCGCAAGTCAGCTCACAGCATCTAGCGTGATCTTGCTAAACGGGGTCACGACGGAGTCGATGTTAAGCAAATTTAGAAAATTAGTAACGACGCGATTTGCCTTCGTATGCCGCACAGTCTCCGATCTTTCACGCTCTGTGTGTACGAGGAAAGGCTGCGACACCCATCGCTTACCGCAAGCGCGGCCGATTTGTGCATCATCTCCCGAGCCCCCTTCAACATTTGCAGGCAGTCTGTACGGCAGGCCGAGTCGGGCTGCCACCTACCCCACTGTAGAAAAATCCCACGTGTACTTCCCGGCCAGATTAGCTCTCTCAAAACAGTTTGCAGTTTCCTACAATTCAGCACAAGGGCTGTGACAGATCTGAGATAGGGACAAGCGATTCCTGCCACACGAACGCAGATGCCTCAACACCCCCCCCCACCTCCTCCCCACCCCAATGTACAGGGTGGTCCAGATGTATTGTGGCCCCCAATTAATTGATCCCTTAAGGGCGCAATGCCCGAACCACAAAAACGAAGGAGGCATCATCACAGAGACACACTCTGCTGCTCCAGACGCGGTTGTCTGGCTCTACCACCTGAATGTGGAGTTGTGGCTCTGCATCTACATCAGCAGCCACACGAAAGTAGAAGAATTTATTTTTAATAAACCTTACTTTAAATTTTTTTATAAAGGTTTGGGATAACGAAATTGGGGGGGGGGGGGGGTACAAGACATCTGGACCACCATGTACAATAGCCACAACTTTCAGCATGGAGTGCGTGGAGAGGCAAGAGCAGCTCCCCAAACTGGTTCGGGCAGGCACGTGTGGGACGGGAGGGGAAGGAACGCGTGCCGAGCTAACTCCTCGGCTGATGAAACCGCAGTGCACAGAACGGGGCAGGTTTGGACCGCGCGCAATGCACGAATACACCAGCGGCATGCAGCAGAAAGTGGCCAATCTCGCTGGGACATTTGGGTTACGAGTGGGCGGATAGGCATGGTAGGTTGGTAAATACTGTACCAGCCTCAGTTACAAAGACCCATGCCGTGTGTTACTCTGTAAACGTCTCGATATCAAGCATGACGAGGACAAGATAGTCCCAATCATATCCAGCCCTTTTGTCATTCCACCATCGTCATGAGAATTGTTTGACCATACTTCACCACACTGGTCACTGCAAGTTGCTAAACACGAGTGGGGATGGATGGGGGGGGTGCCCAGGTCTGATCCGCATGTCACATCGGTGCCACCCACGTTCGCCGCCGAGGTTGGGGATCGAACTCAGGTCGCCGGGTTCACGGCGCGCAACGATGGCCGCTGCGCACCGGATACTCTATCGCAATGTGTACAATTTGCAAAGATGTGCAGTCTATATTGATCAAACTTAGTAATACAACGACAGAGGCAAACACCACCATAACACTATCAAACATAGTGAGCTGAAAATTTCAATCAACACCAAATGATCATACTCGTCAAGGCCTCTTGTTTTAAACAGGCAGTGCACTGTGTCGACATACATTCAGGGCGACGTTCACATACTTTGACAAGGTGTGAAAGTAAAACTTGGCGTGAATCAGCAAAGCCCGGAACCTCCCTATTAAAATCTTTATCTATCCTGAATTCACAGGAGATTTTCCAGAGATTCACCGAAACGCCTCCAACCAGCCAGAGGGCGTGAGGCGTGACGTCAGTTGCTCTGTGACAAACGCCCGTCCAGGTGTGTGCCTCGACACCTGCGGTGAGACAGGCAAAGGTGCAGCCCTGCAGGTGCTTGCGATTGTCGCTGCAAACGGAAGGGCCTCCACTGGAGAAAACTATGTAGGGCATTTAGCTTACGGTAGTTTTCTTGTTCATGTTTTAGTGTTTTGTTTGTTGCGGTTGCACCCGATTCAAGAGCCGAATGGCTCACAGGGCTACACCTAATGAATGAAACTGAAGCCACATTGACATGTTGGAACGGGTGGCCGAACCCACATTGTACTCCATTACATGCGACCTGGCAATCGATTGAACGTAGTGTAGCCATTTACACTGCTGAGTGGACAGAGGCGGGGAGGGATTTAAGAAACTTGCACCATGGTTTTCACTGCTAAACTAAACGTGTGTCTCACCAGGTAAAGCACACCGAGCTATCACCGAGTTTTCAGAGGCAACCTGGCCACACGTGATCGCTCATACAAGTTAGCTTATCGTGTTTCTAAATATGGAGGGCGAACCCAAAGGACCCGGGGGAGAAATATCGACACAGCCACAGGGAGAGAGAACATGCAGCCTCTATAATACACAACAGATATCAGGGTCGGGATCAAACCCCCGACCTACTGTGGAGCTGGCGAGACAGATAACATCTCACCACATAACAAAGGTCAGCACCAGTCTTCCCGTATTATGAATAAAGCGAGCAGTTTGTGCTGTTTACCGAAGCAAACACTGAGAGGTCAGAAGCGCTTTTACTCCAATTTGACGTTGCTTGCATTCCACGTCATATCTTTCAGCAAGTATTCACATCGCTACTCAGCAAAACACCAGTAACGTCCCTGCTGTTGTTCAATTTTAACCAAACATCTTCCTCGGTACAAAACAGCTGCTGTTTCCCTCACTCCTTTCCTCATGCCCCCAACTCCAGACAGGATCCAGACGGAAAGCGGCAGCGCTCCTTACAATCTCCATTCTCCCCACAGCCTCACTCAAAGCACGAGCCACCACTCGTGGCGATATTGAGTGTGCACACGCTGGGGAGGGGGAGACAGGTGGCTCAGCGGTAGAAACTGGAAAGGTTCCAAAAGTTAAAATCCTGGTGAGAGGTTGACTCAACCCATCATCTCTCTGGGGTCGATAAAACGGAGTATCACTTTGTGGGGGAGTCAACAGTGGTTGTCCCATGCAAAGAACCGCCATAAGAACGTGGAATTTCCACCACTGGCTAAGCGCTGTGAACGGGAGTTGAGAACAGCTTCAATGTGCATTTGAGCAGGAAGTGTTTTTTTTTGACAACTTTGTTGAACAGTGCATACCATGAATGCATATCTATAACCGAACCTAAAATAATAACTCAACCTACACACTGTTGTAAAGACAATAACTGCAGTTGTCACCATCCTTTAAAACTATGCGCCCGCACACAGACTGTGCTGGAGAGCAGCACTGCCCTCACACGTGAAGTCATCACTGAGCGTGGGAGTCTGCGCGTAGCTTTGGAGACGTTTCTTGTACGGACATCATAATGGACAACTGCATGAACTGTGGGGTGCATCCCACTCATTTATGGTGAGTGCAGAAGGGTTTTCTGGGAAGTCGTCTGTACAAAGAGATAAGTATGGGGGCGGGGGGGGAGTGTAGGTTGTTCTCAAGTCTGTGTCTGTTGCGTGCGTTAGGGTGAACCAGAAGCAAAAATTAGGTTGTGGTGGCTGTTTCTGCTATTTTGGGAGCAGTTATTTTGACACCGTATGCTGAGGTCTCACAGGCCAAACAAAGGAAGGTCGTTATTACATTTGAAGACGTTTTTAATACTAAAAAATTCCATGTGCAGTGTTTGATGTTATACACGTACAGCCCTTTGTTAATCCTCCCCACGAAGTCACGAGGTTCATGGGGATTATTTGACCATACTTCACCATGCTAGTCAGTGTGGGTTGGTGAATGTGTGTAACAAAGTAGTATGGGACAACAATGGACACGTTTGCTCAGAGGAAGACTTGGGGTTCAACCCATCCCACTGCAGGTCAAAACACCTCTCTTTGCTCACACTGCTCAACTTGGGAATACCCTCCCATCGTCTCCTTTCAACTTAAGTTCGTAGAATAATCTTGCAAAAGAAATAAAAACGTATTAACTCTTATGTATTCCACCTTCAATAACGCTGTTTAATGTGGGTTGCTCAGCAATGTGAACTTTCGAACCTGTGATCAGAAACTGTTATTTAAATAAAAACATCACCTAATATCTGTTCACGGCACAAACAGGTGCAAGGCCTGTGAGCAGTGCTTAATGAATGTGAGTGGGTGTACACCATAAATCTGCATTGAAAACAGTTCACACAAATACGTATATGAAACCACCATGTACATTCTGAATGTTTTATAATGTTTACTTCAAGAATATTAACAACCTTTTTTTATTCAATGGTAATTCTCTAAACCAGGATCCCAAACAGCTTGCAACCCACCACTCTGCCTCTTCTTGTTAACCAACCTCCTCCGTTCAAACACAAATGAAGTCACTGCACGTAGCCATGCAGTGTGCGATGGTCTCGTCAAGGGTATTAAACCGTTACGTGAACTTCCGTCATCCTCGCAGCAGCAGCGGCTTTGTGACTCACCATCGAACAAAGACGGCCACTGCACCGAGCGCTTTCAGATGCGTGTCTGCGGCCGTCTGGAACGCTCTTCCTTCCGATATTAAGAAGCCACTGGAGCTATGGCACTTTGAAATCTAGATCGAAAACTACATTTTTTCGAACTGCTTTTTGTGTTTAGTTTGTTGTCCTTCCCCTGCACCTTCGATTAGTATGGTTGGCTATGTACGGTGCGAAAGAAGTTCAGCATACATACCCGATGGTTGGTAAGCACGTGCGCATGCACACACGATCCCCAATTTAATATAAATTTTCACTCTCTACGTCAAGCGTGACGCATTTAGCAACCGTGAGACATGTGCAGCTGTGCACTTAGAATTAATTTGTACCCAAGCGGAAAACAATTAGTAATCTCGGAACAGTAGACCTTGGTGTTTCGTGAGGATTGGAGTTTGGGAAAAGTGGCCCTGAAGCAAATTCACCGCGATGACACCGAGTCGAACGGGCACTCACCGGGAAGGCGATCTGACAGAGTTGGCAGAACCAATCGTCAAAGTCCGCTCTCTCGGCCGCCAGGTAGAACTCCTTGGCCGTGGTCTCCAGGCGCAGGACGAGGCAGTCGCGCGGGGCGCCGAGCTCGTCGTTGCGCTTGATGCTCACGCAGTCGCTCATCTTGATGATCTTCTTCTCCTTGCTGCGGCTGTGCCGCTCGGCGGCGTCCTTGCCCTCGAGCAGCTCGAGGCGAGCGACGCCGCAGCTGCTGCCCGAGTAGAGCGCTCCGTGGACCTTGCGCCACGCTCTCTGCGGGGGGGAGAGAATATGCCCAATTGTTTACACGCCGAGAACAGACTCGGTGCAGCGCTGCTCTGCCTACATTGAGAATCTCGACACAATGGTGTCTTAAAGGACATTATAAATCTAGCTGTGACGGTCCCACCTGATGACGGAGACTTGTGTTGCCTCCGAAACGTCGTGATTTATTCTTTTATTTCTATTATTATTTCTATTACTTTTTACTTTTATTATTTATTTTAACCTACGTGACTTTACCGAAAAAACCTAAGAGTATGAATCCTTGCCGTCACGAAAGCTTCAAATCTAGAATTAAGGACATAATAAGTTCGAGTTATACGAGCGCGTAGGTTTTTTTGCAGTTGTGCTGCGTAATTCTCCGAATATTTTTTTGCGTTGTACCAGGTGTTGTACAACAGGATGTCTCCCCGCTTTGCTCCACAAGAGCTTTCCAGCACACGTCTCCACATCTCTGCCTGGTGTCAGCATCTCGCTGCATGCATCCGTGTCAAACAATTTATACTTATTCCATAAATAAGCCATATTGTGTAATTATCTTAAAAAGTACAAACCATATGTGCTGCAATATGTATGAGGTTCGCAGGGTTTTTTTTTACTGAGGTTACCTAACTTACAAAACTGGCCCATATATAAATTTAAATAAATGTATTTTATTTTACAGCCCTTTGTCAATCCACTGGTGGGGGAAGGCCTCTCCCACACCATGTCAGCATCTGTGGTCGACTTCTGTTTGTGTGTGTGGCTGCAGTGCGAACACTTTTGCACAAGACAATGTGTGCAGTTGAGTGTATTAAGAAATTAGGTGTCACAATACGTATTCTATGGGCCTTTCGGTAAAGCCACGTGGCATAGAATATGTATTCCTGCAGTCACGAAAGCTCTAAGTCACAATATGGTTGGAACTTTTTGTGCATTTTGAGATGGCACCGGCCATAGACGATGCAGTGTGAAGCCAAGAGGAAGTTCAAAACGTGTTTATGTTTAACTGTGATGACTTTAAGCTGGTTGGGGCCACACAATGAAAATGGACACTTTCAAACACCCACAATCCATACTCCAGTTAATGCCGAACATATTAAAGTTAACAAATGTGGAGCAGTGCCACTCATAACCAACAGTTGCTTCAATTGCTACACTCAAGTTCAAATAGCGTATATCGATGCCAAGCTAAGAGGAAGCTAGAGTCCAGTATTTGAAAAAAAAAGCGGACATTGAACGTAAATTGGTGAACAGGACATGGAATACAGTAACTTTGCATAATACATGTACCTTATTTAACACCACAATTTTACAATGAAAATAAAAAAGAGATATGACTGTAATGTACTGCAATTGAACAAAGACAACCAGTCTGGACTTGCAATCCAAACGGCGCCAGTTTCATTCCACGGCCCAGCATGGCAGTTGAAAAATAAACCCACTTACTGTAGTGTAGATGATCTGGAAGTCACGTGGTGGAGGAAAGCGGAGGTACTCTGCCGCCCCCGTGATATTTGGCCAGTGTGGAAGAGTTGGCTAAAATACCCTTCCTCCAGCAGTGGCATGAGCAAGACATTGCAGCCATGCACCTTGCAAAACTGACTCGCCAAAAATGTCCTGTAACATTTGAATATCTCCACTGCATCAATCCAGAATACGCTGCGTTACAGGTCACCATCCATGTTGGTGTGCCACTAACACACGCGTGGACACACACAGCACATGTTCCACCACTGCAGAGGAGAAGCCTTAAACAAGATCCTGTGAAACCACTACGAGACAGGACCACAATATGGATTGTACGATATTTAGGATACTATACATTCATTTAATGGGCTTATAATTCGCTTATTTAATACAAATACTGCTATAGGATATTTATTAAAATAAAAGTGATTCGTAAAAGCCATATAATAAACACGTAGAAAGGTCCTTCCATAGAAACGATCACTCGCCAAAAAGGATGACATTGTACACATCCTTTATATTTTGCCAAACTAATCAATGTCAGATGCGATTAATATTTTTGAAAGAAAAAAACAAGCTACAGTACACGTGCAGAGTGGTGACACGGTGGCTAGCGAAATGCGCTATCAGAACCTGAGTTCCATTCTCGGCCCTGACCAAAATCAGTGTCGAGCGATAGCAGAAAGACCCTGGGTCTGCCACTTAAACTCGCTCTGCTTAGTGGCGATATAAATAATTTTACATACATAATACAATTTTAAGATTAACCTTAAAAACAGAGCTTATCTGCTCTAAAGGGTGAATGTCACATGAAGTTTGGACCATTGTTTGAAAAGCTGAATTGAAAAAAACACTGGTTGTTCTTCTAGCACATTATTTAGACGTTTAGAGATATTTAAATCATTTCTTAAATAATCCACATATATTTTCAGGGATGACTGTATTATACAGAAGTACATTTCTACGACTTAAATTTCACAATGTTCGGTTGAATAAGACGGTTAAAACATTTCATGAAATTTCCCCGGAAAAACAATTGCAGCGCTACATTTCTAAACTTTCCGTTTTGCAACGGATAAGATGAACACTCCGATCAACTGAAATACTACAGCTGCATTCTAAATTCACCATCGACATGTACACAAGACATTGATTGCCACTGTCAAAGCATGCCCGCGTTTGGTACAAGTCTCGTGACAAAGTTACGTTGTAGAAAGAAGAATTTCGTGAATCAAAGTGAACCTGTTTCTGGCCCCTGACTGCTCTTCGGGGCACGCGTGAAATGGTGTTTAAACAAAGTTGAGTCCCAGAAGGAATTTCCATCTGTAAGGAACTACCACAAATATGATTTTTCCAAACATGATACGACATACATTTTTAGTGTAAGATAATTACCATATGGCGATATCCGTTTCATGCAAATTTGTAATTGTATTTTTATTATTATTGCATTGTTTTTATGCTTTGCAACACCCCCAGTACGTAAAAAGATCACTTAAAAGTTCAACTGTAGGTGAGTTAACATAAGTTAACATGAGCTATATTGCTTGCTTAACACACAAGTTGTCAGTTAGACAAGGAACTGATAGATAATTAAATTAACTGCGATCAGTTAATCAATTAATGTTACTGGGCAAGCACCGAATGCTGTATATAAAAAGTGACTGAAATACACCACCTTGGCAAATTTGTTTCATTGCGGATGACGACGAATGACGTGTTTGTAAAAAAAAAAGAAAATTGTCCAACAGGGAACTTTTAGCAATGTGTGAATCAGAGACCCCGAGACGAGATCCCCATCTTGACGAAACTTTCTCGGCACACAACCTTGCACATTTTCCACAATGTTGGCAGCATTGGCACTGGCACATTTTCGGCAAATATCTGACAAAAACAGTCTTGTTGTCCACACCTGAATGTAAGAATCAATTATGCATTTATTTGTATTATACGCATATGATGTTACGTTTAGTGTAATGAAGTAAACAAAATTGTCCAAACCAAATAGAACAAAAAGACAATACAAATGAGAGAGTTAAAAGGAGACGAAAAAGATTGGACTCTGAACCCCTAATTGTGACACGTCATTGTGGCCGTCTGGAACGCTCTTCCTTTCGATATTAGCAAGCGACTGGAGCTGTGCACTTTATAACCTAGATTGAAAGGTAATTTCTCTAAAACTGCTTATTGTGTTTAGCGTGTTGTCCTCCGATTACCATGGTAGTCTGCGTACGGTGCGAAAGAAGGTAAACATGCCTTACTGTGGGAGATGAAATGTTACATGGTTAATGATCAACATCGTTATCATGCTTAGGATTCATCCTGTTATCTCCATTTATCCACGATTTAAGTTTGTCGATCAGAGTAATAATTACTTCCATGACCATCTGTGGACATGAGCAACGTCACTGTGATGTAACAGCTCACTTACATGTTGGGAGAAAGGCACAAAGGGTATTTTGGGAAGCGTCATCATTATCAGCCATGCTTAATCCACTGCTGGATGAAGGCGTCCCCAAAGTCGTCTCCATCTCTCACGATCCTGCGATGTAGCATCGGTACGCATAGATGCACTCATTCGTCGGCCTTATGGTCAAATACTGTGTAGTATCGAGTAACTTATCTTATCCATAAGGTTTAGGGGATGAGAGCATAAATAGTTGCCCTTGTCAAAATAATCGGTATCGGTCTTTTGAGTCGAGAGCTACTTCAGTCAACTCTTCCACCTTGCAATGCTCAGACATTAAAGTGGTGTACAATGTAATAAATTGTTACCACAAACTATTTTCATGGACTATCTAATTCAGTAACACACTAAAAAAACCATCATACCACATTTCTGTCCACAACTTTTTCCAGGAGATGGTGGTTTGGCTTCACAGCCAGAGTAACCTCAGCTGATAAGAGTGATCGCTGTTGGGTAAAATTATGGCTATTCTCAGCGTTATGCATTGCGTTTATTGTGCCAGATAGCATGTCTCTCAAACGCTAACCATCATTTTAACATGTACCATATTATTGTCCAAATATTTACAACTTAGCATCAAAATAAATTGTCGTATTTCTCTGGTGTTTAGTGAAAGGTTCAGGTGCAGCCCTACAATGTGTTTGCTCATGCCACTGAGGGTGGAAAAACCTGCACTTGTGGGAGCTCTTCGCAACCCCTCTAAGATGGTAGTTGGCCTACTCTTCCACCCTGGCCAGGCAATCTGGAAGGGGTGTAAGTCTCCACACCTTACTGCGCCACATGCAAGCAGCGGATCGATTGTGCCGAGTAGACAGAGGTGGGGAGCATTTAAGAAACTCACCTGTTGTTACAACTACCGCACCAAGAGATGGAACCGGTACTGCACAGTACTTTATCTTCTAAACAAGCTGTGTTTATAGTGATCACCTTAAATTGTAAATAATTGCTCTACTCATTTACACGTAACATATGCAAAACAACCATCTGTTAGCCATCAGCTGTTGATTGCGTCTGTATGCTAAATTTACTACCATTGATTCACGTAATGCACCTACTAATGGCCTATTACATGAAC